TAACCCCCTCCCTGGGGGATGGACAACAGAAAAGTGGGTGAAGGGAGACACCAGGCAGTGTAAGACATGACAAAATAATAATTTATAAATCATCAAGGGTTCATGAGGGAGGAGGGAGTGGGGAGGGAGGGGGAAAATAAAAAGAAAAATGAGGAGCTGGTTCTAGGCACCCAAGCAGAAAGCTAGTGTTTTGAGAATGATGGGGTCAATGCATACATAAGTGTGCTTCCACAATTGATGTATGTGTGGATTGTGATGAGTTGTATGAGCCCCAATAAAATGATTTAACAAAAACCATAAAACCTTAGAAGGATTAACAAAGGGATTTCTACTAGCAGATAGAAACAAGCCCTGGTGTGAAGGTTGAAATTGCCCTTCCCCCATTGTCTTCCCAGGCTATTGGCAGGTCCTTTCATGAAATATTTTCCTTTGCCTGACAAATTCTGACAAATTTCCTGTCATCTCTGTGAGATGCAGCTGAAAGCTTAAATTCAAGTGCTATTTGACATCATTTAAGGTGTGGTCCTTTCAAGTTGATGTTGGAATATTTTGTATCACCATTCATCTGTAAGTTTCACTTGTATGTTGCTGTACCATTGGAAGCTATGCCACCTGTATTTCAAATACCAGTGTGGCCATGTGTAGTGGGTTCATTTCAGTGAAACATCCAGACGAACAGGCTAGCAAGAAGGATCGAGAGATTCACTTCTTTAAAACTTTCCACTGAAGCTCTTACAAATAGCAGGGGAATAGTCTCTGATAAAATGTCAGAAAACAGGCTTCTCTTGGTGGGCACTCGAAATGTGACATAGGAAGGACTGCCTTCCCAAAGCAGAGTTGATCCTAATGACATAGGTGGACTACAGGTTGGAATGACCAGACTCACAATCAAAAGAAACAGCTACAAACATTCATGAATAACTAGAATGTCAAACATATGAAGGATGAATCTAGGAAAATTTAAATTTGCCGACAACGAAAGGAAACACTGAAAAATAGATATCACAGGCATTTTTTGTGATTTGAAATAAACTCATATTGGACATTTTCTTTGGACAACCATATGGAGTACTATGCTTGTGATGACAGGTAAGAGAAACTGTATCACAATCATCATTAAAAAGAACATTTCAAGGTCTGCCTTTAAATATGACAATGCCCTTTAAACATGACAAGTTTATGTACCAACCACATATAGAAAAATGAATAAATGGACGATTTTTAAAAATAACTTTTGCAGTCTGAAATCGATCAAACATGCAACTCAGATGCATTGATCATTACTGGTGACTGGAATGTGACTATTGGAAACAAAAATGAGGGGTGAGTAGTTTAAAATTATGTTCTAGATGATAGACAAAATGCCAGGGGATTTAGAGTAGAATTTTAGAAGGCCAGTAACCCATTCATTGGAATTAATTTTTTCCAACAACATAAATAATGGTTATACACCAGGGTCTGCCCTGATGGAACACGCAGCAAGAAAATCTACTACATATGTGAGAAGAGACTATTGAGAAGCTAAGTATCATCAACTAAAGAAAGGCAGACAACTGTGAAACAGATTTATCAGTTGCTCATATGCAAATTCAGGTTAAAGCTGAATAAAACTGAAATTCATGAGAGCCAAAATCTGACCTGGAGTATATCCCACCAGAATATAGAGCCCATCCTAGGGACAGACTGGATGCTAATAAATGCTAAAGACCAGATGAGATGGCAACCGGAACTTAATCCATGAAGAGAACAAAAGGTCATTTAAAATCTAGGGGGAAAATACCCACAATGATTATCAAAAGAGACTGTGAAGGCTGCTTGTAAATTTAGAATAGCCAAAAAAAAATTTTTTTAGAATAGCCAATGGAGGTCTGGATTGTCATAAGAGCTGTAAGAGCCTCCAATAAAATTATTTTGAAAAAAATATTAGAATAACTAAAGTGACAGGAAGAAATGATGAAGTAAAGGAGCTGCACCAAATATTTTAAAGGAAAGCCCAAGAAGACAAAGCAAAGTACGATAAGGATATGGAGAAACACCTAGAGTTAGAAAGCCTAAAAAAGGAGAACATTGCAGCGTATGGAAGGCTGAAAGAATTGAAGAAAAATTCAAGCCTCCAGTTGAACTATTAAAGATTTCTATAGAAAATAATGAAAGACAGGATGCATCAACAGATGCTGGAAGGGATACAGTCACTGAACCAAAAATCATTGCTTGATGCTCAACTATTTGAGGATAAGAGTAATTGATGAATAGTAATTGGTAATAGTGGAAGGAGTCCGAGTTGCATTGATGGCAGTGGTAGGGGCAAAAAGCCCCCACTGATGGATGGAATACCAACTGAGATGTTTCAAAAACCAGCTAGACACTGGATATTTTCCCTTGTCTAAGCCATAACACTTGGGAAGGCAGAGAGCTGGCTAACTGATGGGAAGAGACCCATATGTATGTCTATTGCAAAGGACGATGATGTAGAAATTATGGAACAATACCATTAGCATTGCCTGCAAGTAAAGTTGCTGAATATAACTCAGAAGGGCTCATGGAAGAAGAGATGTCACTGCTGATTTCAGATGGATCTTGTCTGAAAAGGGAATAGCAGAAAGACGTTTGTTTGATTATGCAAAGACAATCAACTGTGTGGGTCAGAACAAATTATGTACGGCATTGGGAAGAATAGGATTTCAAGAAAACTTCATTGTGCTCATGTGGAAGTTGTCATTAACCAAGTGACTGATTTCAAACAAAACAAGAGGACACTATATGGGTTACAAGCAAGAAAAGGGATGTCAGACTTGTATTCTATCACCATATTTATTCAGGCTGTCTACTGAGCAAATAATCTGAGGAACTGAACTATATGAAGGATAGCAGGGCAATAGGTCTAGAAAAAGTCTTATTAATAATCTTTGATTTGCAACAGATACAATTTTGCTGAGATCTGTTTGAAGCACTTATTAATGGTGATCAAAGGTTACAGCCTTTTAATGGGCTATAGTTCCCAAATAGACCAACACGTAATTTGTTAAATAGAGAAAATATTAAAGTTGACCTGTGGTGTAGTGGTCACAAGTTGGCCTGTGATCCACATGGTCGGCAGTTCAAAACCACCAGCAGTTCCCTGGGGAAGACTGAGCTTTCTACTCCAGTAAAGAGTTATAGTCTCAGAAACCTACAGGAAGTCGCTTTAAATCAGTTTAGTTTTTGGTTTATGGAAGTTGACAAGGATTTCATTTTAATTTGATCCACAATTAACACCCATGGAAACAGCAGTTATGAAATAAAATAACATTGCCAATGGCAAATATCTGCAAGAGACTTCTTTAACGTGTTAAAAAGCAAAAGTGTTACCTTGAGGACTAATGTGTGCCTGAACAAAGTCACTGTTTTCAATCACCTCATGGAGTAAGGAGGGCCCAAGAAGAATTGAAGACTTGGAATGAATGGTTTCACTAAGATTACTGACTGTCAGAAGAGCAAACAAATCTATTTGAAGGAGCACAATGCTTCTTAGAAGTGAGGACAACAAGATTTGGGGGCCTGTACTTTGGGTGTGTTTCTAAGGGGGACTACTAGCACCTAGGGGAGGATAGCATGCATTGTAAAGCAAAAGAGAGGAAGGCTGCCAACTGTATGGATTGGAACAGTGGCTGCAAAATTAGTTCCCATATAACAACGATTGTGAGAGTGGCACAGGACCCGGCAGTGTTGTGTTCTGTTGTGCCCAGGAGCTCTATGAGTCTACACCAACCGGATTAATGGTTTATATATTATGATATTTTCTGGAAGTTAGGACAATAGCTTTTTCCATTTTATCAGGGGAGGATGTGTTAAAAGTACCTGAAATATGTCTTGATCACTAAAAGTAAAAATCATCATTATAGGATAAATAACCACATTATATTAAGTATTATTATGATTAGAACACATGTGGAAATCTTTATAGCCTGACTTTCAAGTTTTGTAAATAGAATCCATTAATAGATAAAAGAACACAAAAATTCTCCATAATAAAGGATTTCTCAATCTTACTTAATCTACTTAAGGTATAATTTTATTTTTGGAATATAAACACACATGTAACTACGTAGAAAGAAGTTGTCATTCATTATTCCTAAATGCAAGTGATTCAATCAGATATTTTCTTAACAGCAGGCAATTTGGAGTCAAAGACAATAATGCTATGTGAGTGAGGAGCTATGGTGGCATACATAATATATGCTTTTTATTGTGCAGGACAATAGAAAAAAAGAATGACAAAGGTATGTTTTGATTTTCATGCCTTTACAGCATATTTGCCTGGTCTGCAAATAAATGAGTACCAGTATATGAAGTTTTACATGATTTTCATCCAAAAAGAAAAGTGTGGTTAGCTGTCTTGACAAATGTATGTTCAACTTTGTGTCTTAGGTCTGAATATGGGTGCCTGAAATAACTTTTTTTCCCATCACCTTTAAGATATATTAAATTTAGAGTAAAAATTGTACATAATAGCTAAAGAAAAGTATACAATCATGTTTGGTTCCCTCTATATTGAAATCTATCTATATTTGACCCTGTGTCACTCTTTGATCAGTTGTAAGAAACACTAATGTAACCCATTTGTCTCTGAGACAGAGAAGAAAAACAAGACTCCATTTGTTTTTCTGATCCCCCATTCAAAGCAATCTATTATTTTTGTTTCTATGTGAAATTTTGCTGGGTTTTTTTACAAAAAAAATTATCTAAGTTTACCTTAAATAATAATATATCCTTCTCTTTTTTTTTAAGCAAAAGGGAAGAAATTTATTGGAGCCCATATGGGAAACCCTAGAGGGGCCCAGTGTATACCCTACTGTGTAGGCATGCCCAGCAAAGGGCCACACCATTCACTGTACCCCCATGTCCCAGAGGGACTCCCCTTGAGCCGAGCCCCAAAGGCCCAGGACTGGCTGGGGGTGGGGATGAATAATCCTTCTATTGATTTCCTTCTACCATTTTTTCTCTTTTACCTTAGTAAGCTGATGGAGAACATCAATGGAACATCTGAGGGAGATTTTATATTGCTTGGATTTTCAGACCAACCTCAATTGGAGATAGTCCTTTTCGTGGTAGTCCTGATATCTTATCTTCTGACACTCCTGGGCAACGCGGCCATCATCCTGCTCTCCTATCTGGACACCAAACTCCACACACCTATGTACTTCTTTCTCACCAATCTCTCCTTTCTTGACCTTTGCTTTACAACAAGCATTGTCCCCCAGCTATTGTGGAACCTGAAGGGACCAGCCAAGACTATCACTCCCTCTGGCTGTGTCATACAACTCTATGTGTCGCTCTCGCTGGGCTCCACGGAGTGTGTCCTCCTTACTATCATGGCCTTTGATCGCTACGTGGCTGTCTGCAGACCTCTCAATTACACGGCCGTCATGCACCCATCATTCTGCAAGTCATTGGCAGGAATAGCTTGGCTGAGTGGAGTGGGAAACACTCTCATCCAGAGCACGATCACCCTTCGTCTTCCCAGATGTGGACATCATCACCTTCACCACTTCTTGTGTGAAATCCCTGCTATGATGAAGTTGGCATGCGTTGACATTCATGCAAATGAAGTCCAGCTTTTTGTGGCCACATTAGTTTTGCTCCTTCTTCCTATGGCATTGATCTTGGTCTCCTATGGACTCATTGTTCGAGCAGTGGTAAAAATTAAGTCGGTCCAAGCCTGGCGGAAGGCTTTAGGGACCTGTGGATCTCATCTGATAGTGGTGTCTCTCTTTTTTGGGCCCAGCTCTGCCATTTACATCCAACCAAAGCGATCTTATGGCCATAGCCAGGGCAAGTTCCTCACACTGTTTTATACAGTTGTGACTCCCACCCTCAACCCGCTTATATACACTCTGAGGAACAAAGATGTGAAGGGAGCACTGAGGAGACTGCTGAGGAGAGAACAAAATGTGTAAGGACAAATCCAAGAAGCAGTGCCTTTCTGTGATGGGTGATTATTTAAGAGACATAGTGTGGAACTACTTTGGGGTATGTTGTATATGTGTTGCCAACCTCTCTGGCTGTATCCACACCCACATGGACAACATGGTCTGAAAAAGAAAGACTCTCAGATTTAACTTATATAGTTCATGGAGTTTCTTTTATATTTGTTAGGGGGGATGTTGTATGTGAGAGAAAGGGAGAGAAGAGACAAAGAGCAGCTTTTTCACACATACCTTTATTACATATCTTCGAAGAATTGAAGCATATTCCCTGTTACCCTGAAAGTAAGACATCCCCCGAAAATAAGACCTACTTACAGTTTTGTATCTTGATGAAATATAAGGCACCTCCGAAAATAAGACCTCCCTGAAAATGAGGCCCCCTGAAGCTACCGTAGCTGTGGACTCTGGACCGTAGCGGCAGGCACCACCGTGCAGCTCACTGTTGACCGCAGCTCAGCCAGAGCAGACAGGAAGTGTGAGGTCTCGTTTAATAAAACAATAAACAATAAATGTGTACCGTCTTCTTTTTCATGGAAAAATAAGATATACCCTGAAAATAAGACGTAGCGCATATTTGGGAGCAAAAATTAATATAAGACCCTGTCTTATTTTTGGGGAAATAAGGTAGTGAGACTGGGGGGATTTGGGAATTGACCGAATATATGTGACTGTAACCCATCTCACTGCTGTCAATTCAATTTCAACTCACAGCGACTTTCTAGGACGGAGAATTTCTCCATAGCATTTCCAAGGCTGTTAATCTTTCTGAAACCAGGTTGGCTCATCTCTCTCTCACAGAGAGGGTTCACACTGTCATCTTTCTGTTAGCACCGCAGCGCTTACCCCACTGCACCACCAGGGCTCCTTATATAACATTAGGAGTTACAATCGTGTTTACCTTTTGAGTAGAAAATAGAAAATATACATGTTGGGGTGATAAAAGTACTTTGCAGCATTTGCTTTGTAAAAGATTCCTGGTATAATATTATTGAAAATGTTTTGTACAACTTGCACAATTCTTTGAAGAGATAAATACTACAAAATAAATTTGGAAAAACTGTATGAGAAACGATAATAATATATGTGAACCTATCTGACATTTATAATAATTCAAAGGGTTTCTTTATCAAAAAGATAATATCACAAAATATCCATGTTATTAATTATGTAGTGGACGCAAAGCCTCTTATATCCAAGCTTATTTGAGCCTATTTTTTTC